GGAGCCAGGAATTATCGTCTTCGTCGTCATCATCGTCATCGGCAGCATCATCGCCATACCCGTGATCTTCAATAATCCCGATCGACATCCGTGGGAAACAAATGGATTTCCTAAGGGGTCCAATGGCTGCCCCAATGCGTACGATTGATTTCCTAAGGGCCCCAATCGATCTCCTCAAGATTTCCGAGGGCATCCGAAATAACCCGATTGATTTCCGCCGAAATCCAATAGATGTCCTTCGGATATGCATGGGTGGCCCAAGGGGTCCGTTCGATATCCTCGGGGCTCCTATCGATATCCTAAGGAGGCCTGTTGATGTCCATTGGATTCCTTCGGAATTCCTGAAGAATCCCATGGGCCTCCGCAGGAATCTCATTGCGTTCCTTAGAACTCCCATGGGTATCCTAAGGCATCCTATGGGTTGCCATAGGATGCCCATAGACTTTCGCAGAAAACCAATGGATTTCCCAAGGGACCCGATCGATGTCCTCAGGATTCCAAGGGGGTATCCGAAGGATTCCTGTGGCTTTCCCATAGAAGTCAAACGGATGTCCTCCGGATTTCTATGGGTAGCCCAAAGGATCTACTGGATGTCCGTTTGGTTGTTTATGGAACAGGTTCGGATTCCGATGGGCTTCCTCGGGATTCCTGTAGACGTCCTTCGGACTCCCATGGCCACCCGAAAAAATTTACGATTTGCAATGCGAATCCTATGGATTTCCTCCCGGATCCGATGGATGTCCCAAGGCATCCAGCGCGTTTCTTCAGGGTCCGCATGGGCGGTCGAAGGAATCCTACGGATTCCCTTTGGATTCCGACGGATGTTCTAAAGGGTGCAATGGAATTCCATTGGTATCCTATGGATTGCCTAAAGAATCCGATGCGCGTCCTAAGGAATCGCAAGGATTGCCGCAGGAGTCCGATGGATGTCCAAAAGGAGCCCGAAGGATGTCAGAAGGAATCCAATGGATTCCCGAAAGGGTGTCCTGAGGATTCTTATGAGCAGGCAGGATCAGTTGGACCATTTGCATCATCGCCATATTCATTTTCAGCGTTCTGTTGCGATCTCTGGGGCAACGTTTAGTATCCCTCGTGAACCCCGAATTTTATTATCCCCAGGTGGTTAAAATTTGCAGGTCGTGGTTAATTTACGGTGGGCCGTGGCCTTGGGGGCGCGGACGCAGCGTGCTTTACACACGATCGCGGCCTTGGGAGCTCGGACGCAGCGTACTTTACTAAGGATCGTGGCCCTGGAACCGCGGACACCGCGTACTTTATTTGGGAACGTGGCCCTGGGAGCGCGGACGCAGCATAATTCACAAAGGAACGCGGCCCTTGGAGCGCGGACGCAGCGTAGTTTGCACGGGATCGTGGCCCAGGGAGAGCGGACGCAGGATACTTTACAATTGGTCGTGGCTTTGGGAGCGCGGACGCAGAGTAATTTACGATAAATCGTGGCCTCGGGACCGCGGGCGCAGCGTAATTTACAAGGGATCCTGTCCTTGGGGGGGCGGACGCAGCGTAATGTATTAACGTTGCCCTCGGAGCGCGGACAACGCGCAATTCACAACGGAGCGTTGCCTTGGGAGCGCGGTCGCAGCGTAGTTTACGAGGGGCCGCGGTCCAGGGACAGCGGACGCACCGTAATTCACGAGGGGTCGGGCCCTGGGAGCGCGGACGCAGCGTAATTTACCATGAATCGTGGCCCCGCGAGCGCGGACGCAGTTTAATGTACGATGGGTCTTGGTTCTGGGTCAGGGACGTCCCGTGGCACGTTCTCGAACGCGTTCGCTGGCGCGTTCCCTGGTGCGTCGCCTAGCACGTTCCCTGGCACGTTCCGTGGCGCGTCCCGTGGCGAGTCCCCCTGGCACGTCGCGCGGCGCGTCCGCTGGCACGTCCCGTGGCAAGTCAATTGGCACGTTCCGTAGCGCGTCCCCTTGGCATGTCCAGCGGTGGGTCCCCATGGGACGTCCCCTGGCACGTACAGTGGCGCGTCCCTTGGGACGTTCCGCGGCGCGTCCCCCTGGCATGTCCCCTTTTATCAATCAGGTCTGGGGCAGCTACTATGTGCTCAGGCAGCTCGAGCTTAAGATCCAGATCAATTCGGTCAGGGCTCGCATGGAAAGGAAGACTCGTTGACTCGATCTACAGCGCTATAGAGCACAATCGCGGCGTGGCACATCGCAAGTCAGCACGGCGCAGCACAGCACGGCCTTCGGCACGGTACATCAGCACCGATACGTTCAGCATTGCACTTGCCCGTGGTCCAATCAGGTGTCTTTGAAAATGCTGCCATGCCTCACGTTTCTAGATTCCTTTTTCCGGGTGCGTGGGTCGATCATGTTTTAGCGAGGCAGGGTTTCACAACACGCAAGACGTTGGGGTGTAAGGGCGGTCGGTTTCCGAAATCTGGGGCTGGTCTCCCGCCCCGCGGGGGCCCTTGCCATTTCTGGTGTTATGCGGCCAGGCGACCGCAGATAGTGGCTGAAAAGGCGCCTACCGCGTCTGCAGACACCAAGAGGGATTCCTCTAGTGGTGGGCAGGTTACGATGGTGGACGAAGTCGAAGAAACGAAGTGGACGCCGCGAGAACAATGACGCGACGGCTGGAGAATTCGATTGCGATGCCTGTTTGAATTTGTGCGAAGAGGAAATCAACGGCGGCGCCCAGGTGGCGGTCGCGTTTGACGCTAGGACGTGCGCCAAACATTGTGTTTTTTTCTTGAAAAGGGCACGGGTTCAGGGTTCTCTTCTAGTTGGCAAGCCTGCCGCCAGTTCCGTGTTCGCAAAGGGCTTGCAGATTCCCGTCGGACTATCAAAGCGCAGTTTTATGTCCTATTCTGAATTAGTGCCTGTGCTTCGCGCGTGCCCGCTCGAGGAAGGTGCGCCCGTTGTCGCGGGTCTTCGATAATGACGGGGTCCGCCGACATCCGTTTTCCCTCGTGACAGAAATCTGGTGCAAGGCGCTTTTGCGCAGAATCTGTGATACATAACATGGTCGGGAGATTTCGCGAATTGCGGAGAAAACGCGCAAATGTTGATTTGTTGCGCGCCCGCTCGAGGATGGCGCGCCCTGCGCGCAGGAGGCCATCTTGGCCGTCTTTGAAGCGACTTGGGCAATGGAAGACGGAATTTCGGCGGCTTTCCGAGTGCCGTCGCGCTGAGCCGAAGCCCCAGGGGGAGTTTTGAAAAAGACCAAAGACCATCAGACGTTTAGCATACCAGGCACCCTTGTGATAATTCAACACGGGGCGGCGGATTTAGTGGCAGTTGGTTTGTTGGTAAGAGGCTTCTTGGATGCCCCCTGGGGTCTCTTCGAATACCTCTCGGGGGCCTCTTGGAGGCCTCTTGGGGGCCTTTTGTAATTAGATGACAAGTAGCACCCATACCTATGCGACCCCCTGATATCTCGGGATGGAGTTCCACGGGGGGGGCTCTGGGTGTGTGTTGTCAAGTGGGCGTCCGCGCTCGAACGGGAGTCGGGTCCGACAACTCGCACCTGTGCCTGTGGCGCCCTCATCGCCTCGCCCTTAGCCGTTCCTCCTCCCTATCGGTTGGTGCGTGTGCTATTCTTCCATCATCTCGGGGACTCGGGGGCCTGTTGGGCGCCTCTTGGGCGCCTCTCGGGCCTCTCCTTGACCGTGACGGGAGCCGCTACTGTACAACAAGAGGTCTCGTGGGGCCATGCGGGCTTCCCCCCTCAGGGGCCGAAAGCGCTCAAAAAACGCAGCGTTCCCCAAACAGTGCTTGCACTCAGGGGTTCTGACTTGTCTTACCAAGGAACCGGGCGGATCCTTGTCTTACGAAGGACTTGGGTGGGTCCCTCGAGGTTTCGCCGCGTCGCCGTCCGTTGCCACCTCGTTGCCGCCCACCGCGCTCGTTGGGTCCGCCGAGGTTGCACCACATAGCTTGCACCACATAGCTTGCACCACATAGTTTGCACAGCATTGTTTGCAGCACGTAGATTGTATCACAGATCCTTCACATCTACAGTGCAATCACTTTCTGTTTGGGGTCCACGCTAGTCAACATTTTGTTAAACTATTTTTGGCCTCGTGGAAAGCCACTCGGGGATTCTCGGGTGCGTCCGGTATCGCCCAGAACCTGGAGTTCTGGGCTTGTAAGCAGTACCGCCATACCCAATGCAGAGATCTCGCGGGGTCCTGAGGTCATTCCACTCAGGTGCCTACCGCACGGTGTCGGATCTAACCGTATTGGGCCCCTCGCTTGCGATCGCCATTCCGACCTTGCAGGCGGCTGTCTGGCCATCTCGGGCCGCCGTGCGGGAGAAGGGGTGCCATCGGATTGCCCCAGGTTGAAGCTGGAGGCGGGAGATCAAAAGCAAGAGGCATGTCGGCATCACACGGGACGAGGAGTAAGAGGTGGAGGAGGAGGACGAGGAGTAGGAGGAGGAGGAGGAGGAGGAGGAGGAGGAGGAGGATCTCCTCTTCTCCCCGTCCTCGTCGCCGTCCTCTTCCCAGAGCGCGCCTCGCGCAAGAAAACCAGCCCCGCGGGGCACGGGCTCCGGCGGAGCCTTTCAGCTGCTGCGCACGAGCCGGCCGCAGGTGGCCGCAGGCGGAGCTCCCCTCGGCGGCGAGGCCTTCGGCGGCGAGGCCTTCGGCTGCGAGGCCTTCGACGCCGAGGGCCCTCTGGCGAGGCCTGCGACGGCGAGGCCTTCGACGAGGCCCCTCGGCGGCGAGGCCGGTCGACGGCGAGGGCCGCTCGACGGCGGGGGCCGCGGTGGCCAGTCTTTCTTGCGCACTGGGTGTCCTGTCCCTGTCCTTGTCCCTCTCCGGGCCGGAGGGTTTCCCCGAAGGGCTTAGGCGACCCGTCCTCCTCCCCCTCCCCCTCCTCCTCCTCCTCCTCCTCCTCCCCCTCCTTCTCCCCCTCCTCCTCCTCCTCCTCCTCCTCCTCCTGGCCCTCCTCCTCCTCCTCCTCCCCCTCCTCCTCCTCCTCGGGTTGCCTACGGCCCCGGGGGAAACCGTGCCCTCTCCCGGCCAGGGGGGCCTCTACCGCTGGACGCTGTGCCTCGAGCGGCTCTGCCTCCGCAGGCGGCCCCCCCCCGCCGCCCGCCCGGCCACCCGTCGAGCGAAGAAGTTCTTCGGGAGCCTCGAGACGGGGCTCTATGGATCGAAGAAGAAGAAGAAGAAGCGGCATGAGCATAAACTTTTGTCGCTCCGCGTGGATTTCTTGCATCCGCGCTGAGCCGCGGATTGACATCCGTGGATGTCACCAGTGGTCGACGTGGTGCGTTGGAGGTCTGGGCTTGGAGGCTCGAGGATCCTCGAGGAGCAAAGAGCACCCCGACCCCCAGAGCTGGCGTTTACTACTCAGCCCTGGGCGTTCACTGCGCGGCTCGGTCCCTTTCGATTCCTCTTCTGGTGCGTTTGTTGAGGGGCCTCGCCTGTATGCGACCATTGTTATGAGGATGGTTCTGGTGGTTTTTCTGCTTCCCAGATCAGGGATTCGAGGACCGAGGTCCGAGGATCGGAGTCCGACGATCGAGGCGTTTCCCCGTGCCCGACTGTGGCTCTTGCTATTGCAGGCGCATTCCCACTTGACTTGTGCAATTGGTGCCGCCATGCTTCTATGCCTGCCACGGACGCGCCCGTGGGCCAGATCAAGCACTTGCTTCTTCCTGCGCGCGGAGCGGTGCGCGCGCGAACCTCCGCCGCCGCGGCTCTGCGCTGCTCGCTCGAGCTCTCGAGGCCTCGCTCAGTGGTTCCTCCGCCCCCCCCCTCGACCCCCGACCCCGCCCTGCGCTCGCCCACACAGATGGCGCCACGACCCGTTCGGGGGGAGTGGCGCTGCTACAATGCGGAGATTCGCGTGCGCTCCCCCGCCCCCCATCCCACGCCGTGCTTTTCCATCCATCGCGTACCCACTTGGGATCATTGCCCTGCTCGACATCCGACTGTGCGAATATACAGGAGATCCACGCCGTGGTAAGGGACTGGAGGGAGGGGTAGGACGTCAGACGTGACGCTAGCGCACCTACAAGTCGCGTCACAATTAACGCGACAAATTCGGGGAACGTCAACCCTGACTACGAAGGTCCTCATACGCTTCTGACCCTTGATCCCCATCCCCCAGTTCCCTCCTATTCCCCAGCCTCCCCCTCTTCCCCCTCCTCCTGCTCCTCCGCCTCCTCCTCCTCATCCTCCTCCTCCTTACTCCTTCCATCCAGCCCCGTCCACCCTTCCATGCAGCCTTCATCATTTCTACTCCCATTCACCCTCATCCTTCCAAACGCCGCTCCGTACATCCAGCTTTCGTTCATCGCAATCGGGCCGATTCTATTCTTTTCTTCCTCGTCCTCCCCTTCCTGCTTCTCCTCGTTACCTTCCCTCCACTCTCCTCCGCCCTATTCCTTCCTCCTCCTCCTCCTCCTCCTCCTCCTCTTCCTCCTCCTCCTCCTCCTCCTCCTCCTCCTCCTCCCTCTCATCGCCTCATCGTCCTCCTCCTCCTCTCCTCTTCCTTCTCCTCCTCCTCCTCATCATCATCATCATCATCATCAGCAGCATCATCATCAGCATCCTCCCCCTCACCATCCTCCTCCTCCTCCTCCTCCTCCTCCTCCTCATCATCATCATCATCATCATCATCATCATCATCCGTAAGGACTTCGCACCCTGCCGCCAGCCCCCTCTCTCGGAGAATGGGCCATGGAAGAGCGAAGTCATGAGGCTTTGGCTTCGCCGTGAAGCAGTGTCGGGACCTGTTTGTTTTTCGACCCTGACCCTGACCCTACGGATCTGCGTGAGGGGTGCCGCCGGATTTCAGAAATGTAGCAAATCCTTCGTGTTTTTGGACCCTGACCCCGCCGATCTGCGTGATGGGTGCCACCGAATTTCAGAAATGTAGCACATCCCCTGTGTTTTTTAGACCCTGACCCTGCAGATCTGCGTGAGGGGTGCAGCCGAATTTGAGAAATGTTGCAAATCCCGTATGTTTTTGGACCCTGACCCCGCCGATATGCATGAGTGGTGCCACCCAAGTTTCAAAAATGTGGCAAATCTTTTGTTTTTTGGGAATGTGTTGTTGGACCCTGACCCCGCCGATCTGCGTGAGGGGTGCCACCGAATTTCAGAAATGTGGCCGGACCCTGACCCCGCCGATCTGCATGAGGGGTGCCACCAAATTTCAGAAATGTGGCAAATCTCGTATGTTTTTGGACCCTGACCCCGCTGATTTGCTTGAGGGGTGCCACCGAATTTTCAGAAATGTGGCGCATCTCCTGTGTTTTTGGACCCTGACCCCGCCGATCTGCGTGAGGGGTGCCAACTTTTTACCCACAGCGTTTTGGGCCTCCCCCCTCGCGCGGTCCATCAACAAGGAACAGTGAGCAGCAAGAAGTCAACAAGGAACAGTAAGCAGCAAGAAGCAAAACTGTAACAGTGGAAACTAGAAATTGCAACTGGCACAGGAAACTGCGAACCTCCGGCCTACAGCCTGGTGGCCCCGCACGGGGGCCGGCGGATCCTTTTCATCCTCCTCCTCCTCCTCCTCCTCCTCCTGTTCCGTCCTCCTCTGGCTTGTGACTCCATACAGACACATCCCTCCCTCCAGCCTCTCTCCATCCCTCTGTCACCCCCCCGCTCCATCCAGCTGCGCACCACCCCTCCATCAATACAGCATGAGCGCCTCCCTCCATCCAACCTCATCCCTCCATGACGCCTCCATCCATGCCTCCCGCCCTCCCCCACCCCTTCCCCATCCATCATCCATCCGGCCACCACCCCTCCAACACACGCCTCTATCCATCCAACCTCCCATCACGGCATTACCGCTCCTCTTCGTCATTCCCCTCCTCTTCATCCTACTCATCCTCTTCATCCTCCTCATCATCATCATCCTCCTCATCCTCCTCCGCATCATCACTATCATCAGCATCATCATCAGGATCATCGTCATTATCATCGTCAGCATCGTCATCGCCATCATAATCATCAACATCGTCATAATCATCATCGTCATCATCATCAGCAGCATCATCAGCATCATCATCATCATCTTCATCAGCATCAGCATCATCATAATTATCAACATCATCGTCCATCATGAACATGATGGTGATCAGCATCAGCATCGTCATCATCATCATCATCAGCATCATCAGCATCATCAAACTCGTCGACATCGCCATCCCCATCTTCATTTTCATCATCATCGTCATCAGCATGATTACCATCGGCATCATCATTATTTTCCTCCTCCTCCCCCTCCTCCTCCTCCTCCTCCTTCTCCTCCTCCTCCTCTTCCTTCTCATCCCCCTCCTCCTCCTCCTCCTCCTCCTTCTCCTCCTCCTCCTCCTCTTCCTCTTCCTCCTCCTTCTTATTCCCCCCCTCCCACCGTGCCTGCCCCTCCTCCTCTTCCTGCACCTCCTGCTTCCCCCCTTCTCCCCGGCCGGGCCCCCATTACCGACAGAAACACGTGACCGCTGGATCGGAGAGGGCACGCAAGAATGGTAAGGGAATGCTTGCGTGATGTGTGGTAAGATAATGCCCGTGTGCTGTCTGGTAAGCGAATGCCTGTCAGCTGTCTGATGAGGGAATGCCTGCGTGCTGTCTGGTCAGGGAATGCCCGTGTGCTGTCTGGTAAGGGAATGCCTGTTAGCTGCCTGGCTGGGTGATGCCTGTTGGCTGTCTGGTAATGGAATGCCTGCGTGCTGTCTGGTCAGGGAATACATGTTGGCTGTCTGGTTGGGTGCTGCCTGTTGGCTGCCTGGTTAGATAAGACAGCGATGATATTTCACGGGGGAATGGGAAGCGCGATCATACCCTGAGCTGAAAGGTGCGTCGTGGGCAACCAGTAAAACGCATAACGGAAGACGGTGTTCCGCCCCCCTTCCCTTCCAAAGTTGATACCGGGAGCACAATCGCTTGCGACCCGCACGAGCGTTCCAACCGCCTCTCAATTTTGACGGGGGGGGGGGCGGGAATTGAGTTCATCAATTTTATAGGGGTGGGCTGGCAGATGCGCTTTTTAACTTTGGAAAAGCCGCCGCTGCGTCAGGTTAATTGCGACGCGGCTTGAAGCTTGTCCCACTCCCTTCCCCCCTCCCCCTGAGGTTTTATAACTCCCGAGCATCCTGTTGTGCTGGGTCCTCGCTTTGAAGAGACAGCGCCCCGCGTCCTCTCCTCCTCCTCCTCCTCCTCCTCTTCTTCCTCTTCCTGCTCCTCCTCCTCCTCCCTCATCCTCTCTCCTCCCAGCCCTGCTTCTGCTCACTTCATGTCAATCATTTCGGCGCGCTCCTCACGCGGTTCGTGGCCCCACAGGGAGCTCCACCGAAGGCCATGTGGGCGTCGCGCCCGTTTCGGCACACTCCTCACACACTTCAGGGCCCCATCGGGTGCTCCACCGAAGGCCCCAGAGGGAGCGTTCGCATGTGGGCGTCGCACTCGTTTCGACACAACCTTCACGCATTTCGTTGCCCCATAGGGAGCTCCACCGGAGGCCCCAGGGTGAACGCACCCCTCGCACGTTTCGTGGCACCGTTCGGATTTCCACCGAAGACCCCGGAAGGGAGCGTTCGCATGTTTGCGTCACGCTCGTTCCGGAACAGCCCCTTACACGCACTTTTGGGCCCCATATTCCCCCGAGGGAGCGTTCGCATGTGGGCGTGGCGCCTGTGTCGGCACAGTCCTCACGCACTTCGTGGAATTTCGAAATCATTGGGCTCGAATTCGAAAGGGCGGTTCCGCACAAGACTTGAGCAGAACAATGCTTGAACATAACACTGTACTGGGGCACTGCGGCCTAACGAGCCCTTTTGGCGTCTCCTCCCTTGTCGTGGGCGCAACGCCATTGACAGCGCCTTACCAGGGCCCCGTCGCCTAATGGCAGGCGCGGCATTTCGGCCAAATTTTCGCAGCGGCGAAGTCGAAAGCTCCACCGAAGGCCCCAGTGGAAGCGTCTGCATGTGGGCGTCGCGCCCGTTTCGGCACACCCCTCACACACTTCGTGGCCCCATCGGGTGCTCCAACCAAGGCCCCGCGGGCACGGTCCGCATGCGGCCCCCGCCCCGCCACCCCATCTCGGCATGCCCCGCGTGCGCTTCGTGGCCCCATGGGAAAATCCACCGAAGTCAGGAGGAGGAGGAGAAGAGAGAGAGAGCTGGAGGAGGTGGAGGAGGAGGAGAGAGCTGGAGGAGGTGGTGGAGGAGGAGGAGGAGGAGGAGGAGAGAGCTGTAGCAGAGGAGGAGGAGGAGGAGCAGGAGGAGGAGGAGGAGGAGAAGGAGGAGGAGGAGGAGGAGGAGGAGGAGGAGGAGGAGGAGGAGGAGGAGGAGGAGGAGGAGGAGGAGAGAGCTGGAGGAGGTGGTGGTGGAGGAGGTGGAGGAGGAGGAGGAGGAGGAGGAGGAGCGCTCAGCCGTTGACCTTTCAGTTTTGACGCTTCAGCCGTTCTCCAGAGCCGCGGGGGGGCGCGCCGAGGCGCGCAGGCCGCCACCCGGGCCGCACCGCAGGTGCCGTGGCGTGCAGGCCGCGCGGCGAGAAGCCACGCGCTCGCCCAGGGCCGCTCCCCGCATGCAGGCCAAGAGCGCACTCCGCAGGGAAGCTCGGCCGGGGACTCCCGCAGCGACGGCGGGCAGGCCCCTCCAGTGGAGCCAAAAGTTGGATGCATCCTCCCCTGCACGCAGGCTGAGAGCACATGCCGCAGGGAAGCTCGGCTGGCGACTCCCGCAGCGATGGCTGGCAGGCCTCTCCAGTGGAGCAAAAAAAGCTGGATGCATCCTCCCCTGCATGCCGCCGATCCTGGCCGCCCCGTCCGGCCCAGGGGCGCCCCCGAGAGGGGCGAGGACCCCCTAGTTCTAGACCTCCTGGATGGGGGTCGGAGTAGATGGGGTCGGAGGATCGCGCCGCGTCGCCGCTGCATCGGCGATACGGCTCGATGCAGAGCCCGATGTTCTTCACGCTGGCGTCGCCGATACACAGCCGACGTCGGCGATGCATCGCCGATGCATCTCCAATGCATTGGCGATGCGGTGCGATCCTCCGACCCCATCTTAGTACGAGGCGGGGATTTGTCCATAACCACCGCCTGAGGGATCGATCTTCGGGGACCTCGGCAGGCGATGGATGTGGACATGCTGGGGGCCCCTGGGGCCAAGCTGTCTCCATATCCACCGCCCGCTGGGGTCCCAAGACTTTTGGCCCCACGGGCGGTGGACACGGATATGTACTCCTGCCTCGCCAGGGGGGGGGGAGCGGGGGGGGCACCGTGGCCTGGGCCAGGACGCCTCCCAGACGGCGTGGCCCCCCCTTCTCCTGCTCCTTGCAGCGCGCCCCCCTGGCCTCCCCTCGTCCGCGCACGCGCCTCGGGCCACGATGCGCCGACCCGCCTCTCCCGGCCCCCCCCCTCCCCCTGAGAGCCGACGCCACGAGCAGATTGCAGCACAGCGGAGCACCACGATGGGGACCCCAGAGAGAGGGGTCGGGGGTGGACAGGACCCCCCGCAGTGACACGTCGATTCGTGAATTGTCCGTTTTCGGTCTTCGAGAGGGCGCCGTGGCTGTTATTTTCCAGGCTTGCGCCCGCCAGGTCTGGGCCCCGGGTCGCTTTCACCAAACCACGTTTTACGAAAGGGAGGCCTGTCCATCCCCGAAGAGAGGCCTCCTCGCGCCGCATCGGCCCGTGAGGGCCCCACGGGGCCCGAGACGGGGCGGAACCCGCCCGGCGCGCAAAGGCAGCTGCCACGCCCAGACCTCGGGGCTCGGACCGCGCCCGACGGGAGGCCTGCAGCCCGGCTCGAGCGCAGGCCGCCGCCATCACACGGCGGCCCCCCCCCCCGCCCCCGCCCCCTGCGGCTGTCTGGACGCCCGAAAGGGGTGCGGAAAGAATGGGCACAATGCCCAACAGCAAATGTTGTCCCAAGCCCACAGCGGCCGCTGTCGGGCAGGCGGCCTGCTGTGTCGAGTGGACACAGGCCGCGGCGACACCGACAGCGATTCCTGTTCAGAAGGAACAGGAACTGCTGTTGGGCATTGTGCCCATTCTTTCCGTACCCATGTCGGGCGTCCAAAGGCGGAGCCCGCCGCGCGCGGCCGCCTGCCCGGCGGGGCAGGGCCCGGTCGCGTTCCGGCAGTGGCCGCGGGAAGGAGCAGCACACGCTCGCGGTGGGAGAGGACATCCAGCTCCTCGCTGCCGCGAGCCCCGATTCCGAGACCACGGGCGCCGCTGGAGGGTCAAAGTCGCCGTCGGCCAGGATTTCCCCCCCCCTCCCCCCTCGATTCCGGATCCGCCGTATTTTGATTGAGTTTGCGATTTACGATTGCGTCGGACATGCACCCCAAACGATGCGGAACAGTAGGGCGGAAATTCCCGCGCAAGAGTATGGTGGGAACAGCGACGGCAAAGCAAGGCGGACATCGACATCTAAGACACTTGGCAAGTAGGGCGGACATTCCGCCTTACTAGCAACATCGCCCACCGGCGCATCCGGAGTCAGGGAGGGGTGCTTCTGGAGGCGAAAAGTCGCTGGAGGCCAGGATCCCATGGTTCCGAAGACACGTTTTTGTTCAACCCCCGCGTTTCTCCTCGACTTCAGCCCTCGGAGGCCATCGTGCTTCTATCCCTGGTGAGACCAGTTTGCTCCGAGAGTTGCGTTTGCTTCGCCCTCAGCGGGAAGAATACTCTTCTCGGCGCAGCGCCCTGCCCTGTGGGGAGTGAGAATTTGCCCGAGGGTGTTTCCAGGATCTCCGGGGAGGCCCCAGCGAAGTCCAGAGCATCGCCCACGAGTCCCAGAGGGCCCCGGGGCTCCCGAGTGGCGCGGCAAGCCGAGGGCACTGCGCCAGGAGCACCCCATGGCCCCCCCCCCCCCCTCCCGAGGCTGCAGGCGCCGGCCAAGCCCAGAATGTCGGACGTCGCCGAGGGACGCGAGCAGGGGGAAAAAGCATGGCTGGCTCTGGAGGTTCCGACGCGCCGCGGCACATCTGCGAGCCCAGATCTCTGCCGACTGGTTTTTTCCTTCCGCGGGTAGGCCTCTCCTCGATCGAGGCAGGCCCTCGTGGGCCACCATCGGGAGGCCAGGAACCATCAACAACGGATCCGGGACGAAAAGCTGCTCCCAGGGAAGCGGTCGGGAATGGTCCGGATTTCTGGGGCCGCGGATTGAATCAAACAGATCTACGGATGTCACGCTTTTTGGGCTATTCAGGATGGAAAAAACACACACGGACACAATTAATCGTCGATCCCCCAGAAAATATGGGAAAATATGGGAAGTGAGGGGGAAGACGAAAACTTCGAAAATAATATGGGAAAATATGGGGAATCCTGTTATTTGTGTGTATTTATTTTTGTGTCCCAGGGCCCCTTCAAATACCTTCCCAGGGGAGGGGTCGAGGCCTCCTGGCCGGGCCCAGTCCGTTCCGACCGATCTGATTCTATATATATATATATGTATATATATATATATATATATATATATATCGATTTCCGGTTGGCTCGATCCTTGTCGGATTCGATGTTCGGGCGATCCGATGCGGCCATCGGCGCGATGCTTGCGCAGCGCATCTGTGCATCGTGGCACGGCCGATCCGATTCGATCTCGATTCCCCAGCTGTTTTCCGAGTAAGTGCTGGCTGATCTTGCCTAGGGCCCACGCGAACAAATTGCGACATCGGGGGCAGTCAGATACATCAATCAAGGAATTGGCCTGCCAGCGGGTGTCCCACGGAAGCTTCTTGCCCCCCAGAGGCACAGGGGAGGTGCAGAATGTGTTGGGCACCATCCGAAGCCGAAGGACCCCAAACGGTGTGGTGACCTTACCATGTGGTGAGCGTTTTTTTATTCATTGTTTTGCCGATCGGCGCGGGCCCCGAGTGAAATCGATTTTGAGATCGAGTCTGGACGGCCCCGGAGTTGGGGAGCATCGATGGGCAGCCGATGTCGGGGGCCCGGTCACTCTCAGCGGGCTTTTTAGACCTGAACTTGGCGACCCCAATTCGGGAAGCGCTTCCTAATCAGCATTGCTTGGTATGGCCTGGCATTGCATTGCCCAGCTTGGCATTGCATTGCCCTGCTTTGCCTTGATTTGCGTTGCTTGGCATTGCTTGGCGTTGCTTGGCGTTGCTTGGCATTTCTTGGCACCGGTCGGCATTGCTCGGCGTGATTCGGCGTTGCTCGGCAGGCATTCTTGGCATTGTTTGGCTTCACTTCGTCTTGCTTTGCAGCGTGGCTTGGCATTACTTGGCAATTGTTGGCATCCCTCAGCCTTGCTCGGCATGGTTGGCGTCAGTGGGCATTATTTCCTGCATTGCTTGGCATTGCTGCCCGAGAAACGTATGGAACCCGAGGAAGGCCAGCCGCTCCGTAACAGAGAGGCAAGAGGACCAATGCACCTGGGGAACCCGAGGAACGCCGACCAGCGCAGGGCCAAAGACAGGGGGCGTTCCAAAAAGGGCTTTACCTTCGAGGACAAAAGAAATTGTCATCCCTTCCGCCGCGGAAGGCGGCGGAAGGGCGGCGGAAGGCCGGAAGTAAAACGAGGCCGCCTCCGCTGGCGGAAGCCGGCGGAAGTTCGGCGGAAGGCTGCGGAAGTAAAATATGTGCCCCTTAGAGATGGAAGCCCTTTTGGGTTCAGGGTTTCTGGAATCAGATGCTTCTTCAGAAAGAAGCAAGAACCATTTAGGCAGGCCTAGATGGGGGAAGTTGCAACGAACCCTTCCAGGCAAGCTGTTTGGGGAAGCGCAGCTCACGCCTTCGTGGCAGGAGCTTTCCAGGGACGTCAGCTGACCACATCACCGATGCTACACTGGCCAGTCCGCACGCCGCCGCACCTCGTCAAACAACGCCCAAACACGGCCGCCCTCTCATTCCTCGCCTGCCTCCTGCAGCTTGCGCGAGTGTTGAGAACCGCCCCAGCCTGGGTGGGTTCTCCGCTCGAGGGCTCTCCTCCTTGGAGTGCTCCGAATTGAGCTCGGACTGGACAAGCCCGTCCAGAGGCGCGTCGTTACCATCTACGTGGAAATCTGGAGGGGAAGAAACACACAGACACAATTAATCGTCGACGCCCAGGAAAGTATGGGAAGTGGGGGGGGAAGACGAACACCCAGGAAACATGGAAACGTATGGGGAATCTTGTTATTTGTGTGTGTGTGTCTATTAGTGTGTCCCTGGGCCCCTTGAAAAAACGAAACAACGCATTCCTCGCCTGCCGCTCTCTCTCTCTCTCTATCTCTCTCCCTCCTGCCCTCAATTCTCAGCCACGCGCAGGGGGGGGGTTGGGGGAGGGGGGAGGTCTTCTTAGAAGCACCCCTGCTCCGCAGAAGGCGCGGGCCTTACCTATAGATGTGAGGCTGGCGCCGTCTAAGAAGTAGCATCCTTCCATGAAGCCCTCCCTCCTCCCTCCACCTCCTGTGCGCGCCGCCAGAACTCCCCGCGCCTGCCCTTCCCCGCTCCCTCCCGGGGGACATCGGCCATCCGCCTCGCCGGTCCTGGCCAGCCCATCCATGGGCGCGGCATCGGTGTGCACGCCCCCCTGGCTTGGCAAGGGAGGCACACACCTAGGAGGGGAAGAAACTTTTTGATCCGCGGGTCGAGAGCGCACCTCTTCCGGTCGAAGCTAAGCGGGCCGCGCACAGCTTCAATTGACAGAGGGGGGAAGGCAGGAGGGGGGGCCTCACGTCAAGGAGCGGAAGAAACACACAGACACAATGCCTCGGCGACCCCCAGGGCAAAACAAGGGAAAACATGGGAAGTGTGGGGGGGAAGGCGAAGCTCCAGAAAGTATGGGAATACATATACATATATGTATAACAATAAATCAATAAATAATTAGATGAATAAATAAGTACATATATAGGGAATGCTGGGAGTGGTGTGTGTGCATCTCTTCGTGTGTCCCTGGGCCCCTCCACGTGCACTGACCATGGGCCCGGCCGGGGTCGGTGCGGTGGTCCGTGTCGGCCAGGAGGGCCGCTCCTCGACCGCGGCACGTCGGGCCACGAGGGCCGGTCCGTCGGCCACGAGGGCCGGTAAGTCGGGCACGCCCCCCTACCGTCGGGAGCCTTGAGACGGGGGTCAATGCAAACGGGGGTCAGCCAGGGCGCCAGATCCTGCAGGATCCTGCGAAGGCCCCCTCTGGCTGACCCGGGTTAGCGAGCCGCTCGTGGCCGCGAGGCGGCCGCGCACATTGGCTGACCCGGGTTTGGGAAGACCTGCGTTGCAGTTTTTCTTTCCTGCATTGCAGTTTTTGGTTTCCTGCTGACCTGGGTCTGGATTGACCCGGGTCAGAAGATCCCCGGCCCTACAGGAGGGTATTCAAAAATAGTCAAACAAATCGTCTGGGGACGATCCTTCGACTATCTATGACTAGTAATTGTTCTCGCTTTTCTTGTTCTTTCAATTTGTCGTCTACAGTCCGCCTGTAGGAGGACCTGCCCGACCCGACACGAGGGCCGGTCCTCGACAGCGGCAGGGACGTCGGAGAGGCCTGGGAGGCCCGCGGCCGCGCAGGCCCACCCCCCGATGCGGGGAGCGGGAGCCCGGCGAAGGATCGGCGCCCCAGCCAGGCAGAGCGGCCGCATCCGCGGGGAGCTGTCCCGCCACGGGCCTGTGGAGTGTCATGGCGCCAACATCGCAGAGCGGACTTCGTTCGGAAAGCGATAGGGTGGGCCCGGGGTGTCCTGGAGAGTTTCGTTCCGGAGTGCGAGGTGAATTTCGTGCGGAGTTTTGTCTTCTGGCCAAGAAAAACGACCGAAAAGAATCCACGCGAAATTCACTTCGTTTTCGCTCGCCGCTTGGTGCAAAAATCCACGCAGAAATCCGTTGCAGCACGTCTGCATGGCCGGTGCAATGAGAAGTGTTGGTGGCAGATGCGGCAGCTTGGCAAGGTTCGGGGAGCCCTTTCCATGAAGCCTGAGCTGGGGGGCCCTCTTGGGAACGCCGGGAGGCCCGAAGAGCCCATAGGATCCCGCACGGGCACGCCCTGCGAACATCAACAGCAACAACAACAGCAACAACAGCAACAACAGCAACACCACCACCACCAACAACAACACCACCATCAACAACAACACCACCAATAACAACAACAATCATTTTAAGACTGCTCGCTCTCATAAACTCGCGCGTTCCTCACCACGTACATCTCTAACCCCCGATACTCGCTCTCTTCGTCTTCGATCGTGCCCCCTCTAGGGGGTACATCTTCCTGACCTGCCACGTGTATAGGGCGCAGCCCCTAAGACAGCAAGAGGAGTGAGAAAGGAGAGAGACAGAGCGAGAGAGAGCGACAGAAAGTGAGAGGAGAAAGAGAGAGAGAGAGAGAGAAAATTCGAGGAGGAAAGGAGTGGGGGAAGGGAGGGAGGTAAGGGACAGGAGGGAGGGAGCAGAACTGCGGACGAGAGAAGCAGCAATGGGGCCGCTGAAAGGCAGCAGCGGGGCCACGAAGGGCAGCAATGGG